ACTATCATGTTTGGCCCTCATTCAGGTATTCCTCTGGTTCTTTGAGGCTTCCTCAGCCCCACTATCATGACCCTAGCCCTGCCTTTCACTGTGGGCTAGACTGGAGCAGGTGCACAGGTACAGATAAGAGATAAGAGCTTATGACACACACAATCCAGGAACAGGAATACCTGGAAGGTAGGGAGAAGATAGGGAGAGATGGGGAGGAAGGGGAAACTCATCACAATGATTGACACATAAAAACCCCTGCCAAGGAGGACGAACAACAGAAACCATGGGTGAATGGAGACAGTGGTCAGTATAAGATCTGAAAATAATAAGAATTTATAGTTTATAAGGAGTCATGAGAGTGGTGGGGGGTAGGAAAAAAGAGAAGCTAATACCAAGGACTTAAATAGAAAGTAAATGTTTACAAAATAATGATGGCAACATATGTACAAATATGCTTGATACAATTGATGTATGGATTGTTATATGAGCTTTAAGAACCCCCAGTAAAATTATCTTAATTAACAAAAAGAGGGGCACATTGCCTTTGTCACTGCTGGCTGTAAAACAAGCACAGAACATTAATTTCACTTTCCACTTTTTTTCACTTTTTTTCATATTTCTTTCCAGAAGCAAAAGCAGCTACAAGGTCTTTTGTAGCTGTGAAGTTGGGAAAAGTGACCTTTACAAAGTGGGGCCCCTATCGTGGAGTGGTTTAAGGAAATGATGGCGGGTAAAGGACTCATTTTGACCTGTGTCTTTTCTCCTTCCCCTCCCACCCACTAGATTGTTAATGAAGCTGCCAAGTATCGCTATAGGTCTGGGGATCTTTTTAATTGTGGAAGCCTCACTATTCGGTCCCCCTGGGGCTGTGTTGGCCATGGGGCTCTCTATCATTCTCAGAGTCCAGAAGCATTTTTTGCCCACTGTCCAGGAATCAAGGTATAATAATTTGTGTGCTTTATTTGATATCTGCTTAATGTTTCCATTGTGGTTGGTTTTATTAATATCAACTAACTTATCTGGAAGAAAACACGTAAGATCTTTAGAATTTAAGTGAGCTTAATTGCATTTTAGAAAGAGGTTAGCATTTTCTTTCCATCAGCTCTCCAATGTTCAGTGTATGGAATGCCCCCTTGAAGCAGTACTGGCTTGATCTAGCATTCTGTAGACCTCTATGACTATGCCTGTGAATGGGCCTAGAACCTGACACGCACCCAGCAGAGTTCTGTTTCTTTTTGGTGGCTTCCTCAAGTGGATTCTAGGGTGATTTTACAAACTGTCTGTTGTTAGGAGCCCCAGTGGCACAGGGGCGATCCTTTAGGCTGCTCACCACCAAACAAGAACCTACTGTTTATTCCATATTTGCCTTAAAATCAGAGGGATAACACTTCAGTTCATTTTCTTCTTTCAAATAGACTTGGAGAAAACTGTTTCCTGAGCAGTGTTCACCCAGATTAAAAAATAATTCCTCAAATAATTCATCTTGAAGCACCTTCCTTTTATAGCCTGCTTTCCATGGTGATGGGAGAAAGGCGGGGCTTTCTCCTCTTCTACAGCTAACAGTCCGGGAAACTCCTAGGGGCAGGTATACCGTGCTATAGGGGTGCTATGAATTCGCATCGATTCAAAGGCAGTGAGTTTGCTTTTTCCCCCATGATAGTTTAAGTCTTCAGTTAATAACAATACATGAAAATTTGTCTTTCTCATTGTTTTGTTTTCTGTTATTGAAGCGCTTTCAAGGGACTCATTGTAGACAACTGTAGGATATGTCCATCCAAAGACATATGCTTATGTTTTGTTTGAGACATATGTTCACCGCTCATTCCTACTGTTGGTGTCAGACTTTTAATTTTTTTTACCAGATCGTAGTTCCAACATTTTTTCTTAGCTCTTCAGTGGTTGCATCATTTTTCAGTGTAAGCTAGAAGTGGTAGGTTCGGATAGACTGCACATTTGAGGCAGCAGTTAGTTTTGTGTTTGAGCTAGGCACTGGTTCACAGTGATTTTAATAGCAATCTCTTCTCTCAGTTTTCTATCTTCCCTTTGTTCCTTCTCTCTTTTTTCATCTTAAGTGAACATGTAAGTACAAAAGGCTTAATTTTTTT